ATAATATTCAGTATTTGAAAAATATTTTTAACAATAAATTAAAACCCAGTGTATTTATCTTTCGTTTTGGTGACAAATGCAAGTCTTCCATTTTACTTTTCTTTTTATTTCCTACATACACCCGCAGTTATTTTCTGCCTTTTTTTGGTTTATTTAACGAGCATTTTCTGTCCGTTTCATTTTTTGCGACTTTTGTAGCGTTATACAGTCATATGAATATTAAATTAAATTTTTTCCCCACCCCGGCCATTGAGATTGCGAGAGTGCTCTAGGCCGAAGGCAGCGGAAAGGTGAAGGTGAGCTGTTCTGAATTGGAAAGTACGTATACGTAATACGCATTACGTATACGGATGCGTATGCTGCTCTGCCTTGACTTTGCCTGATAATGGCATAAGGGCACAAAAGCGAGAAACGAGGAGCTGCCACATGTGCAATTCATCAGAGGCGGCTATCCGCTTTTAATCAAATGCAAAGTTGACCAAGGACCGGGGACAAGGACGAAGGACAGGGGGATACAAGGACTCACTTTTGATGATGGCCGACGTCTGCAGCCTCAAGATGGCAAATTGTGCCGACCTGCAGGGCCAAATGCAAAGCAGTTAGAGCCGCTGGCTGCTGGTTTTCTGGTTTCAGGTTTCAGTCCTCAGGCTGCTGACTGCTGACTGTGTCTGATATGGCTCACTTCTGTCATTTATCTTCTTTTACGGCTCGAAGGGGCGTGGCCCTCGACCATTCAATTCCAGAGGTGCAAGGCAGCTGCTGAGCAACGCACGAGGAACGCGTTCAACACACACGCAGAAGTACTGAAAAGTGCAAGCTTACACTGAGGAAAATCAATTAAATTAAACAAGAAGAAATAATCATCAAATAACCAATCAAGATATAAATGTGATTTCAAAAATTTTAGCTAAAGTAATATTGTACATTGAATGAACACCCAAAAAAAAACTTGATATGAAACGATGATCGATTTTGACTTGATATGCGCGCACCTCAATTCGATATGCTCAAAATGTAAGCAACAGGCCAGTTCGAATTTCGAATGTGTCTTTCTTCCTCCCACTCGCTCATTGAAAACTTGGCTTTTTTCTCCCTTTTTCGAAGTCAGAGAATCTCTGAGAAAGAGATTTACTATGAGCATATCGATTCGACCGCGTAGTGTTTTTTTGTGTGCATTTTATTATGTATTTTTTATAAATTTTTTTTATAAATTTTGGATTGATTTCATAACCTGTTATTTTTACACACTTTCAAGTGTATTTCTAAACGTTTCCACCAACACACATACATGAAAAGTCCTGTGCATATTTGAGATATTGTGTTTGAACTTTGGCTTTGGTTTTCAACTGACTTCGCCTCCTGGTGTATGTGAACTGCAATTGTTGTTGCTGCCAACTTGACAAACGCACAGTCGCCAGGATTTACCGACACTCCCAGCCGTCCAGAGTGCCAGGATCCCAGGGTCCTGGAAATTGAAAAATTTGCACAAATTTTTAGCTGTGCTGCCACTTTGAACCTTTATCCCGGGTCCCGAGGGCCCCAGCTCGTAATAAACTCGACTCCCCATTCCCAATACTGTTCCATCACCATCCCCATCCCCGAATATCATGTGCTTGTAAAATTTATGCTCTCTTAAGGAATTCATTCAAAAAACTTGACAACAAATTGCACTTTGCGCTTGACAACAAATATCCATTGGACCGGATTTTCGATTTGTTACCTACATGGCGCAATTAAATTGCTGGCCAACATAGATTTATAATTCAATTTTTTTCTCCTGGTTTTTGACACCAGTTTCGTTTCGATGAGACACGTGCATGTTGGAAATTTTGAATCTATTTTTGTGAACAATTAAATGGCGAATTCGTGTTATGCAAATGGCCAGGGAACGTGCCTAAAATTGCAATTAGTGCAATGGCAGTCGCCGAATGGCGCATAAAATATCAGTAAACAGAGCTTTTGGCTAACAGAAATCCTGTCTGGCCGACAGCCAAATGGATATTTGTCGCAAGGATAATCGAAAGGCGGCAATTAATGGCCAGCAGTTTGGTTTTGGAACTTCCTGTTCTCCCCTTCTATGTGTGTGTGGTGCTATGATAAGGCCACCGAGGACAGTAATCCCTGCCAGGCGAATTTTGTGACGATTGTGGCTAGTGGGTGACTGTGATATCCAGTTTCATGCCCTTTAATGTTCCAATTTCATGTTTGAAATTTACTCCTGGCGATTTCTAGGAAAAATTTAGTTTTGGATAGGCTGCGTTTAGAGAGGATAGATGTTGACGTTACACTTATTTTTGGTTCCCTTTTCAAAGTGCAGTTGGTCTTCATGGATCCGTAAGAAGAAAATAAAAATATTTAGGAAAAGAGTTGACAGCTCTAAGAGATCGTTGAATTTAAATGGATAATTTGAACTTTTTGTTGTTCTTAATACCCTCTGGTCGCTCTAATTCCCATCATGTTATTGCAAAATCTGAAATATTTAAAATTTGTTGCGCGAAAAACGTACAAGAAAGCATATTTATATTAGAGTTGTTTAGCTGAGTAACGGGTTTTTAATAGTTAGGGCTCTCCTCCTCTCTTCTTTTTTAACTTAAGTGTTGGACAAAAAGTCGTATTAAATATATTTCTTATTAATAAGTTATTATTATGCCCATAGGTTCGATGTCACCTCTTTAATGATTTCCATTCTTTACAAAAAACAATAATCGTAATTGATATTATTAATACCATTTTGATCGAAAACAATTATGACCCGTGCCATTGGAATGGATAATAATGGTAATTCGAAATTGTTTCTGTTTAAATAAATTTAATTTAATTGGACAAACGCAAAGCCGCAAATGCGCAAATTGCGAGGCAATTTTTTGTTCGCTTTCTTCTTTTTTTTTTGCTGAGCACCTGGGATCAATGGAAATACCTGTGGCAGTGGGAGAAAGCTAATATGGCAAATTAATTACAAATAATTCGCCCATGGGCGTCCATGTTTTGTGTTTGTTGTTGCGGACTGATTTTTAATTTATGCGCACCGCAGTTGATTTTCACATAAAATCCGATTCCAAAAGCCTCGCAAATCCACCGCAACTTAAAAGCTTAAAACGCCGCGCCAGCAATGACTGCTTGGGTCTGGGACTGCTATCCTGCTATCCTGCTCACCAGCCCTTTGGTCCTGCCAGCATCCAACATCCTGTGGCTCGGTGCCAAATCCCCGACCAAGGCTTATAAATTTTAATTAAAATGCGACGCCAGATGGGAGTGAGCACTGCGTGTCCTCGCGGCGCTTATTTCCGCTTACATTACAATTACATTTGCCTTTCGGGGGTCGCAAGTCGCATCCGCCATCCTGGCCAGGGTCATCGAGTTACAGTCCATTCCGACCACAATCACCTGCTGGTGGTGAAGGTGGTGGCTATTGATATGGCCAGGTGCTAAGCCCGAGGTCACTGCACAAATCCGCATTTTGACGAGCAACCTGTCATTCAAGGACTCTCGCCGAGCTACGTCAATTAAGTTCTGTTGCGTCTGCTTTAGAAGTAAAGATTTCATATAAGGACAAATCTATTAGGGTATAAGAAAAAACTAAGTTGAGCCAAAGCTCTCTAGGTTTTGGTTGTAGGGGTATATTAGAACAAATTTGTTGTTGCATTCTTTTTAAATACCCGTTAATTTTCACACGATTGAAAATATCCCCCGTGGATCCTCGCATGATAAATGGTTAATTAATTAATTTATTAATCATAAATGCAATTCCTAAAATATAGTAATTGGAATATTATTCTTTATATTATTATTCTTAAAAGTTATCAAAAAATTATTTAAAAAATTGTCTAAATAATATTAAAAATTTATCTATCTAATCTACTACCTAAAAATAAATGGTAAATTATAAAGATGTTAAAAGTAAAATCATCTTCTTCAACAACTCTGCATTAATGCAGTGATTAAATTTTCTTAAAAAACTTTTCATTTTCTTCAAGTTAAATCGCCAAGCTATAGAGAGAGTTCCGTTGGCCCGGCTAAAAGTTCACTTTCTACTCTTGGTATTTCCCTCAATTATTACTGCCAAAAATGTTTGCCCACTCGACAGCTGCTGCCTAGACTCTGAGTTTTTGGGTTTTTCCGGGGTGGCGGGGAAAAAAACATAGGAGGAGTGCGGGGTCCTGCGCTGCACTAATGACGCAAATCGGCCTAAATAACAAGTTGCTGGCATTTGGTCAACAAGTGGAGATTGAAGGAGCCGATGGCAAGCTGCGTTGCCAACTCAGCAGACTGTTTTTTCTTCAATTTCCACTAGCCACCATTCAACGCCCACCACTCAACACCCACTATCCCAACCACCCACCGCCCCTAATGAGACGCAATGATGAGGAACAAGGCTATCTGGGACTTGGTCGCGAAATGGAAATTAAAATGCATCCCCAGCTGCGCCAGTGGGCGGTCCGCTGGGCGTGGCAGGCGGTTCAACACTTGATTTAATCAACTTGATCCGGGGCAAATTCAAATCAGTTTGCTTTAAATTTTAAGACGGTCGCTGGAAAATAGTGTTGGTTAAATTTGTAAGGAAATCAGTTAAATTTCAATGACGAGAGAAAAATTAAACTCAAACTGTTTGTACTGTTTGTACTTTAAGAAAAAAGATTTTAAAAATATTTAAAATATTAGACATATTAGTTATTTAAATATTTAAAATATTAGACAAATTACTTATTTTATGTCATTAAAAAAATATGTAAAATCATTAAATTTATTATAATTGTTAAATTTTACATTTTTTATATCTTTTTTGTTATTATTTAATTTAAGTTTTTGTTTTTATTACATATCGTGAAAATTTTAAATTAAATAATTAAATCTTTGGTGTTCATCGTTTTTGTTTTTATTAGTGCCCCTACCTTTGTTTAGTGTTTTAGTGTTTTATTATCTTAATAAGTAATCTAGTTACCAGTGCCTTTAATGTCACATTTCATTGGGTAGCATTATTTGCATACTGAACAGATATTACAAAAGAAATGTCTATCAGGTTGAATGACGATGCCATGCGGCAGTTCCGGGTGGCCAAGGTGTTCCAGGAGACGGACGAGCACAAGGTCTCGCTGGACTTCTCTCCGGACGGACGTCGCCTGCTGGCCTGCGACCACTCCGCCCTTTCGATCTTCAGCAGCACTCGGCAGACGGAGCTCTGCCAGGTGCACATGCACCACTACCTTCCCGAGGTGGCCTGCTTCACCCAGCGGGACACTCGCGCCCTGCACTCCACCTCAAAGGTAAGGGGCTTCAAAGGAAAGTTCGGTAAGGGGGGCGCTAAAATACACAAAGCCAAAAGCACAAAGAGGTCTTGGTTTGGTGGAGAAGGGTTTGAGAGAGTGTACGCCTTTCGCTTTAAGAAATTAACAAAATTTTATGTCTGTCCTTGCAGAGGGTAAGGTATTTAAATTTAATTGTAGAATATTTTCATATAAGATTTAAAAATATGGGAAAGGGTTCTCAGGAAAATCCCTGAAAGAAGAAATTTAAAAGTATTACTTACAAATTATGACAGATGACATACAATTTAGAATGGATTTACTTAAATAAATTGAATTTCAAAACAAAAGAAAGGGTTCTCAGCAAAACTGATGTAATATTATTAAATTATATGATTTGTTAAGTTTGCTATGTTTAGCAAAGTATACAAAATCTGAAGAGATTGCGAAAGTATGATTTATATAAGTAAGCAATTCTTAAGAAACCTAGAAATATTTAAGAAAATATTTTTAAAGGAAAGATACAATTCGGAAATATTTAAAATTAGAATTGATAAGTCGGGAATATATATAACCTTTTTGGCCGTATCTCTTTTCTTCGTATAAATAAATAAGTACTATTTTAACATATAATAAATATCAAATATCTTGGGAAATATTAAAGAAAATTTTAAAAGGGAAATTAAAAATCGATACCTGTAGATATATTTAGATAAAACCTTAAGTTTAGTGTAAGAATATATTTAGGGTGTTCAATTGCATTGCAAACGTTGTAAAGTGTAAAAGTGTAAGGCAGTTCCAACAACAATTTCTATACAAAATAGTTTTCAAAAGTAGGCCGTGAAAACTTTTTTGTATAGAAATTGTTGTTGGAATTGATTTACACTTTTACACTTTACAAAGTTTTCAACGCAATTGAACACCCTAAATATCTTTTAAAACTATTTTATTTGTATACATATCTATTAAAATCCCTCTCCCCCAGTATGACTTTGCCATCCGTTGCCTGGACCTCGAGACGCGTCACTGTGTCCGCGTTTTCAGCGGTCACTCGCAGAGTGTCCATCGCTTGGCCTCGCAGCCGGGAAACGAGAACGTATTCGTCAGCGCGGGACGGGATGATCAGGTTTACGTGTGGGACTTTCGCTGCTCCACGCACACGCATCACCTGAAGAAACTTCGGCAACCGCTGTGCGCCTTTGATCCTGCCGGCTTGGTCCTGGCCACCAGTACGGATACGGAACGCATCGAGATCCACGATGTGCGGATGTTGGGCGGGCAGCCGTGCCAGAAGTTCGTATACCAGGTGAACGACAAGGCCAAGTGGACCCAGCTGCAGTTTGCGCCGAATGGAAAGACGATGCTCTTGAGCACGGATCACTCCTGGTTGTTCAGCGTTTCGGCCTTCGATGGCTCCTTTCAGCAGTCCTTTACGGGCTATGGAAATCACCTGAGGCAGCCTCTGGATGCCACCTACACACCAGATTCTCAGTTTATTCTCTCAGGAGCGGATGAGGGCAGGATTCACATTTGGCGCGCCAGCGATGGTTATCCCGTGGCCGTTCTCAAGGGCAACAATGTGGGTCCTGTGCGCTGCCTGCGCTTCAATCCGCGGGCCACGATGTTTGTGAGCGCCGACTTGCTCATCGCCTTCTGGATGCCCATGGCCAATGGGGTTTACGATTGGGTGGAGCGCTTGGCGCCGGGGGAAACAGTGTCCTTTAAGGACGAGGAGGAGGTTGAGAAGGAGGAGCAGCCCAAGGTCATTCGCATGCCCGAACCCAAAGTGGATATGGCGTTGATAAGGAAGAGGTTGAAAAGGAAATCATCTACCAGCCAACTTCCCTTAGTGGATCTCACCAAAATACCCGATAAAAAGAAGACTTTGGAAGATGGTGAAATAGAGGATGATTGAGATTTGTAGAGATCCATAGATTCTTACTGTAAAATAAATGCAAGGGTTATCAATAAAGGAGTTCTTGCCCAAAAGTTCGCAGACCAACTCCCAGCTGGAGACCCACCACCCAAACTTCCTGGACAGTCCTTATGCTTTTGAGACACACAAATTGTTGAGTTTTGCCAGCAAATTGCACAGCTGGCTGCGTTCGACTTCGAAAAGGAGTCGGTGGAGTGCAAACTTTGGCCAACTTCTTTGGCCTCTGAGTCTGTATGTACGAGCTCCTCTGACAAGCGTTTCATTTAGTTTCTGTGGTCATAAAAAGAATTCCCACTCTTTTAATATTTATGAAATCTTTGGACGAAAAGCCCCCGAAAAGAACACACAAATTGCTGTTGAACTTTCTAAACTTGTAACTCCAATTGAATATGTGGATGGGCGCTTTTCGTCTCGAAAACTTTTCTTTGACGTTGCCAAGTTTTGAATGCGCCTCATCATGAAAATGCACAAATAGCAAGTAATACTTAAGTTGACCTAATATAAGGCTAGGAGCATGTGCAGGTTTATTATTTAGATTTAGACAAATTAAGAAAAAAAATGTGTGTGTGCCGACCAGTGTTGTAGTGTTTGTGTGGCGGCAGAGGTCGGGCAGAGCCATTTGCAACGGGGCTAAAAAATCTGGAAATTAACCTTAACCTTAATAAAAGGCAGACAATCTCAAAGAGAAAGAAATCGGTATTGCATGGTAAAAACGATATGCGTATAAATATCAGAAATTTGCCATGAGTATATCGATTTAATCCTGTTTTGTTATTTCTGTGTATTTACTGCTTGCGTATCATTTTAATTACTCTTAAAGGCATTTACAATTTCATGATGCCATGGCAATATTCGGAGGCATATTTAACGGCTGAAATCTTCAATGTTGAATCAAAGTTTAACGGTAAGTGTGCAGCTGCCAGGCACTCGAAAAGTCAACAAACTGACTAAATACACTCCTGTTGAAGGAGTTTTGGGTGTTGCAGCAGGGCAAACAGCAAACAGCAGGCAGGAACAATAACGATGGCAGCCGAGAACCTCTCATTATGCTAATTAAGTACAAAAGTTGGAAACAGTAGCAGAAACTGAGACTGAAACTAGGCAAACATAAATTAACGCATGCGACAAATGTGCGGGAGAAAGGATTAAGTTTGGAGTCCCTGGGAATTCGGGGAGGGGAAGGGGGCAGAGCGTGCAAAGCGGAAACGGAAGTCGCCGTGTCGCCATTTTGATTTGCATGGACATTGCCATTAGTGAGCCAGAGAACCCTAACGAGCATCCTTTGAAGCGCGTAAATGGCTTTTTCATCTCGCCGAAAGCGGCGAAAGGAGAAATTAATTAAAAAGGTGGGCACGAAATATAAAAAGAAACGAGCCGGGCGCGTGACTAAATTGTAAAACAAATCCCAAATGGCCATGGACACATAGTCGCGTCCTTTTTCGCCCCATCCTCCAGATTCCCAGATTCCCGCTTTTCTACATCCACGCACCACAAATTCCTTTTCCCACGACGGGCTTTTCGTCCATTGACGCAAGAATATTTAATGCGTTCGGTAATAAAAGCGGATTTCGTTGGCCCCAAACACTAATCTTGTTTTGGGGCAATCGAATTGGAAAAACGACTTCTAGAGATGAGCAATTAGGATTCGGGTGTGACACGGGTTTTCAGAAAATATAAATTTAATTTATATTATTATTACTATTAAAATCACTTATTTATACAGGGTTAAAAATTGGGTAAAAATCGATTTTAAAGCCCCAAGTACCATAGCTTTTAATTTATCGATATTTTCGATATTTTGACAATATTGATTCGATAATATCGAAGTTTTCATGGAAAACCACAAAATAAATATCGAGAAATACCAAATTGTCGATATTTTTTCAAGCTAGTTGTCTTTATTTTACTCAATGCATACTTTTAGACACCTTCAGAAATTATGTTAGAAACATTTTTCTGAAAATATTTATTACTTCCCTCACGCTCTCATCTCTAGTTTCAGTTAAGCCAGGATTGCCCTACTATTTCGTCCCTTTTTATGAACTAAAAAAAACGAGAAAAACTTTTGGCGAGTTAAAATTATTGAGGAATTTGATGTACTCCAGAGGCAATCGGCTTGCATGCATCGGCCATCAACCAAAATGGGAACCAACAAGTTTGCCTCGAACAGGCACATGATTTAAAGTCTGATTTCTTGTTATTATAAGGAATCAATTTGACCCCAATACCTGGGTTCTATGGGTGACTACAAGTTGAGTCCTGGGGCGCAAACTTTTAAATTACTCAACGGGCACTTTCAATAATGGCAAGGTCCTGTGTACTTCTACCTACCTACTAGCCTGCCCAGTGAGGGGAAAAACTTTGGCCAACTGCCGCACAAAATTTACTCCTTCAGTCGACATTGACTTGCCCGCTTTTCCTTCGCCCACTTCCCTGTTTTCCCATCCGCGCTTTCGACCAAAGTTGTGTTAAAGTTTTTCCCTTCTTTTTTGTTCGCAGGACGCGAGGCAGGATGTCTATTTCCGCCGTTGGCGTAAAAATAACAATCGACTTGCAGTTTGAATACATTCCCAGGCCCCCAGATTTGTTATTTTCCGCTTTTCCTCTTTTTTTTGTGTTATTTTTATAAGACGGCGGGATTAAGTGGATTTTTAAGTGGCAGCAGGAAAAGTGGCCACGGGCTACGGATTAGGCCGACTGTCCCGGGCGACACAATTACATGCACGTTGTTTCCCCCTCGAAAGCGTTTGACTCTTGTCAGAAGTGGACTTTACCATTGGCCCGAAACAGCACGTGCTAATGGTTGGGGTTCCTGCGATGAAGTATTCCCCTGGAAGACCCATATCGCAGAGGAAGGATATGATCCTGGGGTAGTTAGAAGTACGCACCTCATTTGTATCACATCCTCTCACAGCCTTAAAGTTGTAGTTTGCCGAAAGAAAGAAATCAGATAATTTTCCAATTATAATTATAATTATCATACACCTCATAATAAAGTATGTAGATTAGAATTGATTTTTAATGATTTAATAGTATAATAATTTTTGTAAATAAATAAAAAATATTAAATATTCTTGAGGTCATTAAATAATTTTCATGATGACTTTGTTTGTTTTCTTTCAGGCTATAAATAAATTAAAGTATTTAATTACATTATATATATATTATATATTTGTTTTATTTTTTTGGATGATTTTATACAATTTTGTTAAGGAATCTTCTATTTCCTAGATGTTCTGAGTTCTCTTGGCTATTTTGCAAACCCCATTTACCAAATCTTCTCTGATGTTTTTTCTTTTTCATGTAAATCTCAGCTTGTCTTGCCAATCAATCCCGAAATATATTTACATAAACTGAACATGGTGAATCCCATTTGGCTGCCCGAGGCGATGGCAAAGAGAACTCAGTTCGGTCAATACGCATCATTGGTTGATCCCTTTTGAAACTGTAATACTACCCCCATCTGGGGGCATAAAAGTGACGACACTGCAACCGTTTTTGAGTTGGCTGTGGGTTCAATTTGCCCCGTGATTGCCTCAAATTAACCGACCATTCGGTTCACCCTTTTGAATGCGAGTGTGGGTCCAAATTGTGAGGACAATTGCGACGATTTGGCAATTGTCCATTCTGGACAGTCTGTCCTTTCGTTCTTCTGCCTCCAACGCTGTCAGCCAGTTGTCAGTCACTCAATCGGGCATTCAATCAAGCACTTTTCATACAAACACTCGGCTAAAAGTTGCGGACCCGGGAACCCTAAACTTTGATTTGCAATTTTGACACGCCGCTTAAATTGGAATTTTTGCTTTCAGCTTTGTGAATTGGCCATTCGACGTCCTGGAAACGCTGGGCCATACAAATAAGTAGAGATGACGTAAAGTGAACTAGTTAAATGATCAAGTAAAAACATTAATTTTAAAAATTTACATGAAACTTCAAAAAATATTTTTAAGTTAAAATTTTTTTTTTGAGCTTTTTTAAAAATGAAAATAAAATAACCACTCTAAAATATTGTATTGTGTGCTTCTGGCAAACTTGACAATTATGATATGGAATTTAATTTTGTAATGCCTATATTTCTTTCTTATGAACTAGGTCGTGCTTTTCAGCACCGTGTAAGCCCCAACTGGTTCATGAACTGCTTTGACCAACTCCAATGCCAAAAGGCATTTGTGCTCTGTTGATTCGCTTTTAAGTGACGCTTTTGGCCTTTAACAGGCAAACTCGCGGCTAGGAGTTTTGTTTTTTGTGCGTTCACTGCTGCATCATGGAGGACGAAAAGGGAATGGGGAAAGCAGAAGGGCCTCCTGTACAGCTCAAAGGATTTTGCAGGACTAGAGATTACACAGAAAGGAATATTGGTTTTATTTAGGAAAATGAAATATAAGAATATAAAATATAACAAATATTTATACTATATTATTATTTTTATTAACAGAGTATCGTATCCAACAAGGAAGTTTTAAAGTAGTGACTTATAAATAGATAGACTGTAAAATTAAGCTAATCTATTTAATCTGTGGACTTTTCTTATTGCTTTGTGCCTTTTGATAGTTCTCTTTATATATTAGATATTTTTTCCGTGTAAGAACCTGGCCCGAAGCGTTGGAGGCTCGCAGAGCATTGCCATCGTCATCGGTATCGCCTCGCCATCGCAGTTGCAATCAGCTTAACAGTAACTAGAAAATAAATTGCATTCGATTTTGTTGTTACGGCTGCTCTGCCACTGTGTTCTCCTCGCTGCTCCCGCTTTTTGTGTGTGCTTCTCCCGGTTCTGGCCTTATCTGCTGGTTTTGGCCAGTTTTGAAGGGGACTGGGCTTTGGCCAAATGCGTGATTGGCCAGCGCGGAAAACAGACGCAAACAAAGCCCGCCGGAGAAGAGACGATCCAGCAAAACTGCCAGCTAAGTGAAAAATGCGCTTTGGGTAACAAAACAACACAACGTGGCCAGCGATAAAAAAAAACAAAAAACAAGAAGGAAATGCGGAAAAGCGAAGGGATTTCTGCTTTTGTTTTC